GATATGCACAACAGTGTATTTCAGATTGCAGCTCGAACTCGGCCTCCGGACCGATCTGAATACTTGGGCRGACCTGCACAAAAAGGTGAGCACTCCGACGATCAAGTCAGTATAGGTCGGATTCCCARTTTAGTTCGAGGTCAGAAATCATCGTACCTGATCRYGGAGTGARGTYCTCTACTTATGGGTGGTAGTCYCGCTAATCTCGCGACGGTTACACCCGGTAATCTCGGGACCGTCGGTTACACCCTGTAATCTCGGGACCGACGGTTATACCCGATAATCACGCCGCTGACAGTAGCTCACATCGGCCCCCACCGAGCTTCCCGGTAGGTCGGACCTCGGCCAGGTTCACCGCGGCCCTTATACTTAGCATCTGTCAACGCTAGTGGTGGTGATCTCGGCGGTCCGAGCTGGGCATGACTCATGAGTCTTCTTGGAGCACCAATAGGGGTCCTCCACGTGTCCAGGGTATTCTCTTCCCCAAACAAACTAGTTCATGACATCTAATTTGCCGAGAAGCTCATGACACATATACAAAACTCACGTAGGTGTTGCCTTGATCCTCAATTCCTTATAGCCTATAAATAGGCAAGGGTTCACTGTTGGGTATGAATCCATATAGAAAAAATCATAGAAAATTTTAGGAAAGACTTCATGTTCTTCTCTAAATAAATGTAGAAGGAATTCAAGTGGAATTTTTATATTTTCTCCAATTTTATGCTCTTGAATTTTTTTCCTCTTTTATTCTCAATTTCACAACAGAAAGTAATATAATATTTATTTATTCTTTATTTTTAGAATGATTATGTATTTGTTAATGCTATATTATTCTGTATTAAATTTAAGTTGTTTATTATATACAATTTCCAACATAATATTTAGTTATTTTCTCAACAGCCAATTCTCAAACATTCACCAAATTCTTAATCCATCCAACTTATATTTCATGCATTTAAAATATGACTCTTTTTCAAACATAAGAAACTCTCCATAATATCCTCATTCTCATAATTCTCAACTTCATTACGAAAATTGGAAGTTGTTTCCAAAACTATCTTCATGATATCATATCATATATCATATGAGTACTCACTTTCTTCTTTTTCAAAATCATAATTAGATTACTTTCATTAGTGACTCACGAAGGTAATCATTTAGTCTCTATATTTTAACACGTTTGATAACTATTTTGTTTCCTGTGTTGGTTTTTAGTTTTTAAAAAATTTGTTTGATAATTCAATTGTCTATTATTTGTTTTTCAAAAACAGTTTTGTAATTCTTTTCTATATAAATTTCACAAACAACAAAAACAAAGTTTTCAGAAACGTATTAGTGTTTTTCAAAATTCAATTTTTCTTTTAATGCTCCCTTTTTTTTCTTTTACATATTTATCTCTAACAAATTTTCGTTCTCGCTCTAAAATTTCTCTCTTTCTAAATTTATCTCTACAAATTTTATTTTTCTCTCCCTAAAATTTTCATATTTTGAATATTTTTTTTTATTATTTATCTCTTCAAATTTTCATCTTGATGTTTTTTTTATTCTAACGGATCACTCTAATTTCTCTCTTTAAAAATTTAATATTTTATGAAACTTTTATTTATCAACAAATTAGTTTTTAAATTTTTTTCTCACTATAATTTTTCTTTTACTTTCTTTACTGTATCTTTTCCTCTCAACTTTATTTTTTTCTCTAAAATTTTTCTCTTTTTGTCTTTAAATTTTGTTAAATTAATTTTTTATTTTCTAAGTTTGTTTCTTTATATCTCTAACATTTTTTATTTAAAAAGTTTATTTTCATCTCTCTAAACTTTATTTTCGTGTCTCACGATGATAAAAACTTTTGTAGGGTCGGTCCCGCTTCAAAAATGGAAAATTCATGTCTCAACCACAACCACAACCACAACCTCTTCCCTAATTCTATTTTTAAATAATTAATATATTTTATTAACATAGTTACTAAATTGTAAAAAAAAACATATTTTTTAAAATTAATTATTTATAATAGTAAATAATTAATATATATTTATTACACTTTTTTATTTTTTAAATTCTAAAAATAATTCAATTTAATTACAAAACAATAATTTTTCATACGAATATCGTCATCCCCAAATAAGGTTCTGTAACCTGGTTCTCGATTCTCGAACCGAAGAATGAAGTGGAGATGGTGGCTAAAAATTTTCACGAGCACGAGAATGATAAAGTGCATCTTCACTCTCGCCTTACATCTTGTTATTTGTTCGGTTACTAAATATGTTTGATTTTATGTTAAAACAGTTATTAAACATATATGATTTTTATTAAAAAAAAACAAAAAACAAAAAACCAAAAACCAAAATAGTTGTTAAGTTTAAAATTTGTACCAACTTAGTTTTTTAATGTGTAACAATTTAATTCTTATAGTTTAAAATTTGTAACGATTTAGTTTTTGTAAGAACTTAGTCATTGCAATGAAAAATTTTGTGGAAGTTGTAATGGAATTTTCTTGTGTAAGTTTAATAAATCGTCCAGGACCAAATATGCTATTAAATTAAGAGCACTAAATCATTAATGTTGATGCTGGATTTTGGATGAACCGGTGTGGACAGAGTAGTACAGTGGAGAAGTGGAGAAATCTTGAAGAGCCGAACGTTGTGTTACATTGTTCGTTCGAAAGTAGTACCTACAAGTTCGAACCTAACATCGGTGTGATGTTGGGCCAAATGCACTTTGGAGGTTAAGTTAGTACTTAGATCGACAAAGCAAAGCGGCAAGTAAGTGAAAGATATTGTGTACCTTGAATGAATGTTTTACCCTCCTAATATAAGAGGGAGATTTGAAAAAGTGAGCTTGAGCAATCAGAGTCCGTACTTGTGAGCAAGGAGGATTTTGCATCGACATATTAAGGATACTCTGACAGGTGAATCGTCATTCTGTCAAAAGTCAACCGATTTTCTGTCGGGCGAACTATGTCTGAGGAACAAAACGAACAGAATGTGGACCTTTCCTCATAAGTTCGGACCTGAGCTCCAGCTCCCAAGTTAACGTGTCGCCGTGGGAGTGGTCCACGTGTTGCACTTACATTGACCCATGATAGATACGAAATAAAATCACAGTAGGGATTCAAGGTCGGCTTAAGGTATAGGCGAGTGAGACGATCGCCTAAGGGGCCTCATATTTTTCATATATTAGTATATATAATATAATATAATATAATATTGTTATCTATTTATTTTAGTTTTTACTTATAGATGTACTTTGGAATATAAAATAATGTATTTTCCATGGATTTTGTTCTTATAATATTGAAGATACATACTAATAATAAATACTTCTCTTAAAAAATCTTTAATTTAATATAAAACACAAAATCAATCTGTCATATAAATTTCTTTAGATTTTAATTTTTAATCTTTTGGGAAGAAAAGAGGACTAAAAACCATCAAATTAAGAAAATATGATAAAGACGAAAAAATGACAAGACGGGGCATGAAGACCCTATTACATTCGCAATCAATAGGGAAAAAGAGCTATTTAGGGGCTCTTCACAAATGTAAACCTAAGGGACAAAATACTGTTTGACTAGCAAGTCAATCTGCATAATAATCAGTTTCACGATAAATTTGTCAGATATTAACACTCCATTCTCGAAAAAGGAGGTTGTCAATATTTAACACCATAGACAAAAGAACTCTCAATTCTAATTTGATACCTTCAAAATTGGTTACTTTTATCTTTTTCTTTAGGTTTAAAACCTTCCGAACTTCATTCAAAAAAAAATAATAATAATAACATAACCCTTCAAAACTCTCACAATTTTAGATACTATGTATTCTTTCTCCTTTTATTAATTTTTTTCACAATTAATTTTTTTCAAATTCTGTTAAGAAAAAGACTCTACCATAAATATATTTGGTAAGTTATACGAATTTTAACTTAATTCGGTTAATCCAAATTGTTAGAATATAAATCAAAGCTTCAATTTAGGTTTTTTCGTTCCATTTCTTTTACTTTTCTGAAAATGTATTTCATGTTGTTCAATACGTTAATATTTGAGATTTGTTTACTTGTTTCAATATAGAATATTAATACGTTTATAAAAAAAATATATGAATATGGCTATGAAAAACTGAATAAAACATAAAATATAAAAACTTATTGAATCTAAAAAACATGCTACAAAAACGGATTGAATATGAAAAAATGTTATCAATAAATTTTTTAGAAGTAAAAGTAATAAAAATGATAAAATAATAGAAGGAATAATAACTAAACGGTCAATAATGAAGCATCTAATCAAATAAAGTTCAATTGAAAAAATACTCATATTAAGGCATCCGTTTCAAAATCTTGTCTAAAACCACATATCATTTCGAGACGTCCATGCGGGACTATAAGGTAATTTTGAGTTACACCTCTTCGATAATTCACTTCTCTTAGACAACAACCTTAACTTCACGATGCTTATATCTAATCTACCCTTAAAAATTTTCAAATACATAGTTCATCTAATATATACACTAAACATAACTTAATGGATGAAAACTTGCCTGATTTCAAAATTATAAAGATCAACAGTCATGCCCTCTATTTTAACTATTGAAATAAAAAATTTTAGACTGATATCACAACTCACAAAATAAATAAATATATATAAATGGAAATAATATATATTTATTTATTATGTGAGTTAATTTTCGACCACCTTCCAAGCATAAATGGAAATCCAATTACCTTCCTTGAAGTCGAAGTTCAATCCTCCACCCATTTTCAAGATCCAAAAATTTGTAAAATATGGATCTCTACCAGAGTCTTTATGTAGGCTTATATTAAAATGGTTCAAACGTGATGAAAAATTAACACAGAAGAAGCATAGAACGTAGGAAAAACAGATGAGGATAACCACAACAAAATAAGACTAAATCCAGCTACAATTTCAAATGAAGCACAATCCTCATCACCTGACAGAAATCAATGCAATTTATATACAGAAGAACAAAGCCTTGGGGTTACTTCCACTCTTCAAATACATATTATTCATCAACTTCCAGTTCCAGCAATTTTTGCAGAGGTAGGAAAGCATGAAATGTTTTCACTCTGGGATGAAGAAGTCGAACCTCACGTCGACAGAACCAGATGTCTCTCCCTTATCTTTGTATTCTATGTTTGTTATTGTTCCACTCTCGTCGGCTTCTTGATATTCTGCTTTCACTCTCCTTACAGGTACCGTGATGGAATAAATGGTTCCAAGATCAGAATCTGTTGACATGCTCAACTGAACTTTATCCTTCGATTCAATTTCTACGAAATCTGATAGAGCTCGCACTATGTTGCTAACAATCTTCCGTTTAGCCTCATCGCTAACTGCACATCGGTCAGCAAAGAGGATCATCTTTAGTCGCTGCTTGGCGATTAGGGCATTGGAGTTTCTCTTAGAGGCTGGAGTTGGAAACAAAATTCTCCATGCCAAGTTTAAACGCTCGAAGAAGTTCATGTTTATGGCATTCAGTAGGAAGGTTTCAGCTTCTTGGCTAGATGTCTTTGACGACAGTTCATAACTTCCTGAGCTCCCAGTAGTTATCTGTGAAACGCCACGCTTATTGCGACTATCGATTGCCATGTTGTGCCATTTTAGAACAACTTCATGACTGCTAGGTCCTCCACTTGAAAAACCAGAAAATTCCACCTAAGATTAAGCACAAAAGTTATGATGAGTGATTGGAAATTTGCAATTGTTTTCTGAAGAAAAAAGGCCAAAACAATTAAAGGAAAGAACAAGAGTCATTCTGAAAATTACATGATCTATGAAATTGTTATATTAATACCATGCAGTGTGTTTTGGTCAGTCTACAGAAAGATAATCCCTCATCGCAGCATGACAAGGAATAATCTGGTTTATGTAGATAATAGAAATATTAGTGCAGGCCCTTGTTACTGACTTATTAGGCGGGAACGGGTGAGAATCCAATGAATATTTATGGAAGCTAAGATAGAAGGAGGGAAGAAGTTAGAGTTGGGAGAAAAGGGGAACGATAGGATTTACTCTTAGCTTGTATCCCTCTGATTTCCTTTAGATTTAGTGGAAATCTATTAATATTAAATATTTACTTTTTCTTTTTAAGTAAAACCAAACTTTCATTGAGAAGAATGAAATAATACAAAAGGACATAAAAAAACAGCCCAACAAAAGGGAGCTAAACTAAAAGAATGGGCTCCAATGAAGCAGGATCAAACTTAAAAGAGTAATTATAAAAGACTTTGGACAGCAAAGACCAAAGGAAAACATGTCCGAGCAAGAACTCAAACGCCCTCCTAAGATCTCTCAAACCTTCTAAAAATCTTGTTATTCCTTTCCAGCTACAAAATGAACTGCTTAGGATTACATTTGTACAATGATAGAAGCTAAACTAGAAATAAACTGCTCTCCCTAACTAATTCACTTAGAAATACTAAATACCGTGCACTTCGATTTGGGCAGTCAAATGAAAAGTAATCCATCACTGCAGCATGACAAGGATAATCTGGTTTGTTACCGTCACGTTCTTTCCTTTCACAAGGTTGGTCTCGTCTCACAACTTTCTTCCCACAAGATTTCTTAAAAGATAAATGTTGTGGGCAATTCATAAGAGTAATTTGATAAAATGCTATATGTCCTGTCATCAAAGTCGATACATCAAACACCATAACAGCAATATCTAAGGGAGCTTAGAGGGAACGAGTTCAAACCATTGGTGGCCACCTATCTATCTACGATTTAAAATACTAAAAAGTATTTCATTGGCAACCAATGTCGAAGAGAGAAGTAGTTGTGCTCGAAATTGGTGGAGGTGTGTAAATAAAGTGTGGTTTATCTAAGGCAATCCTATTGTTATGGACCTCTGGAGATTCATTCTGCAAAGATAAATTAGGTCATTACGTCTCATCCATCCACCGCTACAAACAAGTGATTGTCGTGTAAAATGTAAGAATACAAAATGTTAGGATTCACACAAAAACCTAGAAATCCCGGATACAATTTACCATTCCGACGCATAAAAAAGGGTCAACTGCCGTGCATAAATGCTCCATTGGACGGCCAACCAGAAGAAATAGGGAAGAAAAGTTTCAACGCCGAATCCCAGAATTCACATCTTTCAGCCACCAAACTCGATATTTACACATAATTTCTAACATTAAAATGGAAATTAAGCAACCGGTGAAGCAAAGGTTTTGACGAATTAGAAGAAAACTGTTAGAGATTGGAAAGAGCAGAGTGTTGGAAGACCTTGGAAGAGGGAAAAGAAGTTCGAAGAGGCTGAGGATGGTGAGAGCAGAGTGTTGCGGAGACTCCGAGATCTCCAGAAACCGCCATTTCCGCTTCTACTGCTATCTTCCGCCGAATGTCATCCCCTTCAGCTGGGCGCCGTTGAGTTGGGTTTCACTGCAGGGTAAGGAGCAGCAATCTTGATTTTAACGTATCAGACGCTGTCGTTTTGCTGCTAACTTAGTCTTCATTATTTTTTCCTCTCTCTTTTTAAATTGGTTTTTTTTTTTTTTTGAGAAACCCTTTTTTGAAATGGTTAAAATCATTATTTTTTCTTCTCTCTTTTTTTAAATTGGTTGTTTTTTTAGAAACCGTTTTTGAAATTGTTAAAATCTAGGTTAAGATATTATTTCGGTCCTTTACTTTTAGCCTCAATTCATTTTAATCCGTGTTCTTTAAAAATATTCATTTTGGTTCCTTACACTTTGAAAGGACTTGATGAACACCAAAACTTAATAAAAAAAATAACAGCAGACTACAACGATCGTCTCAGCAGGATACAACGACTAACTCCGGTAGAATTGCAACCTCGAACTACTCGGATCTTGCAGAATTCTTAGACACTTGCTCTAAGAGAACTCTTAGGAGATGAAGAAAAACTCAAAATGAGAAATGCTTTGATATCTCAAAATGAAGAAAAACAACACGTATATATAGTTGTCTAAATGTGTAACATCTTCCAAGAAACTTAAACACGTTACAATTGTAACTTTAACCAAATAAAGGAAAAAACTGATAACTTCATCTAACTTTTACATATTTGTAACTTTAACAAATTTTAACACAAAAGTTGAAAAATAAACAATTTTGTTACGCAATAACAATCAAATATTCTTAATACACGAATTTAATTTCATCTTTCACCGTTTAAAATCCAACAGTTATAATGAGTTCAAGAAATAAGGAATAATGAGATATCAAAAATTTAAACTTGAATGATGAATCTTCATGAGGCGTGCGAAATTGTGAAGTTCGAAAATCAAAATTGCGAAATTGAAGGGGAATTGGGATTTGAAATTTGAATGAATCCATGAATTCCGGCAATCGGTTCCGTTGAGTATCTCTAATAGCTAATGCTTAAGTTATATATATATATATATATATATATTAAAAAAACTATTAAACAGACGGTTCTGTTCGGGTGCTAGCAGTTAGGGTACAACCAAACTCAAAGCCAAACTGTCTAAGTTCGGTTTAACATACTCCTAAGACGAAATTGCCAACCCGATCAGAATCGAAATCGAACCACCTTCGGGTTCGGTCGGTTTAGTCGGCTTAATCAGGTTCGTCTTGCACCCAAGAGTGATAGTAGAATGAGTGATTTTGAAAAAGAAGATTTAAAGATAATTGATTTTCTAAAATTACCAACCAAGTAATAACTAAATAATTTTATATTTTTCTAAAATCAATTTTTTAACTTACAACAAATGATAAATGAAAATGAAAGTGATTTTACTATACTAAATTAACTCCCAAAAACTCTGTAAATTATTTACTTTAAAATGAAAAAACAAATCCACCTGACTAGATTTATTTGGGAGTATGAAAATCCCTATCCATATCTTAAAAATCAATTTAATTTACCAAATATATAGGTAAGTGATTTTGACAATTGTAATGGAAATCACCCCAAACATCTCCTTAAATTATTCTAAATTATTCAAGGAGCAAGTACTTCTGATACCCCAATATCTGAGGAATATCTAAAACCATAAATGGCAAAAAACAATATTTAATCTACCATTTTGGCTTACAAATGTTCAGCTAAGAGTTGGTTTGTAAAATTTTCGTTTATTATATTATTGTTTCATCTAAAGAAAAATAGAATTTCCGAGCCCCAACGCACATATGAATTCAAGAATAATAAAATAAGATTTTTATTTACCTTAAAATAAATTGGAAACGGAAACGGAAACTTGTTTATATTATTTCTAAAATTTCTATATAATTTTTAGAATTTTTATAAAAAATAAAAAACAAAAAATATAAATAGTTGTCAAATGCTCAAATTTCTTAACAAATTAGAAACAAGAAATAAAAAGTCGGAACCATACGTTGTCAAACAGACAGGTCCTAATTAAGCTAAGTTCTCCGATTGGCTTTTTATTACTATTATATATAATTTCCTTTTCCTCTGAGTCTAAACTTGAAACTACTTAATTGGATCTTATATCTTTTAACATATATATGTAATTAATATGTATTATACAAAAGTGTGTGTGTGTGTCTATATATATATATATATATATATATATATATATATATATAACTGTGATACTGCCATCAAAATTATACTGAGCAGCAGCTGCTTCCACCCAGAAACTGAAGGATTTTCAATCCGTTTTGGTCATTTAATTCTCACAACAGCAACCCTTCGACGGGCTGATAGTGCTTCATTCATTTGTGCAATTTCAAGCAACAGTTGGCTGATCTTCTGACAATTTATTAAACAAAAATAAAGTTAAAATGATATAATTAGTCGGACCAACAAACCAATTGAATGTGAGACTTTAGATCAATTATAAACTCGGCACCGAACATAGTTTAGCGGTAATTCGCTTACCATATCTTTCCATCAATTCTCAAGGTGTGTTTGAGAGTGATGGGAGAATTAAGGTTTATTTGGGAGTGATGGTAGAATAAGTGTTTTGTAAAAAGACATTTGGATATAATTGATTTTCCAAAATCACTATCTTAAAAATCAATTTTAATTAATTTTAAATTTTCTTAAAATAAATTTTCTAATTTAGCAATAGGAAATGATTTTGACAATAACAAAAGTTATTTTTGCCACCAAAATCATTCCCAAACACATCTTTTGGAGGAAGAGATTAAGTGTAATTCATTTTCAAAAATTACCATTCAAATGATACCTTAAAAATCAATTTAAAGTGATTTTAAACTTTTTTAAAATCAATTTCTTAATTTACCAAACATAGAGGAAAGTGATTTTAACAATGTCAAAATGATTTTATTCCCAAGTAATTTTTTATCAAAAATTAACAAGAGATTGTTTTTAAAAATAGTTATCATTTTAAATTTCAAAATTGTTATTTTATTTAATCCTGTTTCATCTTAAATTTTGAAAAAAGTTATATTTTTTCCTTTCTAAAATTCATCTCAATTTGTAAATTTTTCTCTCTAAATTTTCTCTCCCCTTATCTCCCTCTGGAACTTTTGTCAATCTCTTATTATATTTATTTCTTTCAAATGGTAAAAATAGAGATTTTTATATATAAAAAAAAATTTGATCTATCAAATTTTTGATGATGATGAGTATAGATATGTATACTCACCACAATTGGCACCCTAATTATTTTCACAAATATAATGTAATTTTTAGTAATTTTAACTTTATATGATGGATAAAATTTAGTTGCTACCATACATTCTTAATTACTACCAGCTTTAATGATTCTAAAATCATACTTGAAAATAAGAGAAAAAAATTAATCATATCGAAATCAATTTTAAAAGTGTGGTCAAAACATTAATAGGATTTATATTAAGCACTTTTTTTTTTAATAATAGAAAAGACATATTTGAGAATGATTTTACCCATATTAAAATAAAATCACCAAGAGTGAACTGATTTACCATCAGAATCACCTGAGGTGATTCCCAAATGATTTTTTTTGGTAAAAATGAATAAAAAGACTTTCTTTTTATTTCCTCTTATTTTAGCTTTAAAATCTGAGATTTTTTTTTTATTTTTAAAAGTTTTTTTCCCATCAGTTTCTAACTTTATTTATCTTTGATTTATTCATATTCTCTAATTTGTCTCTTAAAAAATTTTTATTCTCTCTCAAAATTTTTACACTCTCTTTTCTTTCAACTTATTTCTTAGTCTAAAATTTGTCTCTCACACTTTAAAATTTATCTCCCTCTAAGATTTTTGTCTCTCGCATTTTAAAATTTGTCTCCCTCTAAGATTTTTGTTTCGCTATAACCTTTATCTCTCTAAAACTTTCATCAAATTCTCAACTTCAAATATTAATAATTCAAAATCACTTTTAAAATCACTTTTAATTATACAAAAATTATTGAAAAAGTGTGCAATCAAGAATTATATAGAGTTTACTTTCACAAAATCAACTATATAACTAGATTACTTTGACTAATTAAAAAACCTATTCTAAAATGTATTAGTGAATCAATTACTTATAAACATTTTTTTAAAACAAATTACTTATAGACAATTAAAAATATAACACTAAACAAAAGTATCAGTATTCTTTTTTAAATAAATAATCAAAAAGTAATTTGAGAGATTTCGAAAAACAAATACAGAGCACTAAACTACTTCTTTTCTTCTGAGAAAAAAAAAAAACTACCTTTCGATGAAACATTTAATAAGTTCTTTTTTTTTTCCTCTTTTTTAAATAAAGTTTCACTTAGAAAATATTTTGTTTTCCCCCTAGAAACCCATCCGAAAAGCACTAAAAAAAATTAGAACAATATTTTTAATTACTTTGTTATATTTTTAATTTAGAATTGAATGTTGAATTGAAGGTAGAAAGAACCTGATCCTTGTGCTTGAGGAGAAGACGCAAACGCTGTTCGTTATCTGGATTCACCGAGACTCGTGGCCGCCATGGCAGCCGCATCTTCAGCTTCAACCAACAGAACAGAAACAGAGCAGCCATTGCAGTTGCAGTAACCGGAACGACGAAAAAGGAGGATCTAAATCGGAGAATTCTGGAAATCCCCTTCGCTTTAACAACATCGCGACTCAATCGCAGAAGCCTCAACGCTTCAGCGCCGACTCTGCCTCGCAATTCCGAAGCCGCCGCCGGTTCGGNCCAGGTGAAAATAGTCGTCTCTTATTACTACCAATTTTTGGGGCTGAATTGGATCGGAATTCTCGATTAGGGCATGGGATTCGGAATCCTCCATTTTTTGGGACTTCAGAGAAAACACAGATATTTCAGGGAATGGCATAAGATGATTAAGAA